CTTAATTTGTGTTCTGAAGATGAACGGAGGTCTTACAGGTTTGGAACGACACGAGGGTGAGTAATTAATGACAGAATTTTCATTTTGGGATGAACTATCCCTTTAAGAGACTCTGTGACAGGTAGGATTCAGTTTATGGCTAAAACCAAAAGGGATTCAATGATTCAGAATCAGATTTAATAATAAATTCTGTTGTCAAATCTAAGCAGTGAGGCTGACAGACTGTGGCTAGTAGAAGTCGTGAAGGGCTGGCACTGTGAGTGTGTGATGTCCTGCAGAGAGAGCGAGGCGAGGCGAGACGTACCGCTCAGAGGAGTCCGGCCCAGCACCAGCACGTCAGGAAGTGACATCACCACCAGCTGCTGCAGCGTCTCCTGGAACACAGCAGAGGGTCAGGAGCGAGCCAGCACACACCATCAGTGCTGACCGTGATTCACTCACACACACACACACACACGCCTGCAGTCAGAAACCAGGATCAATCCGGGACACTTCTGCTCTGCTCTACATCAGAGAACATGCTGTGATACTGATTCTGCCTCTCAGATCAAGACTGAGCATCAGCTGCACACACACATTTTATTCTTTTATTTGGATCCACAAGACAAGCAACAAAAACGGAATCCAAATACCTTGGGAAGTCAGTTTGCAAGATGACAGGTACACATGGCTAACATACATTCACAAGTCCTTATATTTATAACATTCAACACTCAAGGATAGACAAAACATCTTCGTTTCCATATTTGCATACTCCCTATAGTGGCTGAAACTGAACAGAGTCTTTGCTTTCTTTTTTGCAATCCACTCAACTGCAGTCCTTTAATCACATTCTTGTGCACATGACCTAAACTTCCAAACACTAGGGTGATTAACTTACAATGACAGTCAAGTTGATGGATGGCTTCAACCAATGGCTGATATTTCAGCAGTTTGGAAAGATAGCAGGTATCAAAATACAGATCAAAACAACAGCCAACCTCACACACACACACACACAGACGTGCAGCTACACGCTGAGGTCAGTCATTATCTCAGCAGCTGCTATGAGAGGAACGCAGCACACACGATCAGTGAACACACACTCATATTTCAGGCTGATGCTCACGTGAAGGTGTGATTCACAGCACAGGATCCGCTGGAGAAGAGCAGAAGCTCAGACACAAACACAGCCATCAGCTCTCATCTCCACACTGAAGCCTGATCCAGCGCTGTATGTACACTACACAGACCCCAAACAACAAACAAACTACAGCCTTGCACCGCCCAGAGCCTTTTAACAAAGACTGAAACACAGAGAGGCTCATGAGCATCCCGGACACAGTGTCTCCTGAACGCATGTGAGAAGTGAGAACTGTAGAGAGTCAAGCACAAACTTTCAGGATCGACAACTGCATTTCAATCCAGGACTGAATCCAAACATGCAATGATCGACACTGATAACCACAGCAATGGATCAGAAAAAGCATCTGCATATCTAATGCCAGACTGACTGCACAGACTCACAAAGCTGCCAGAAGACTGTTAAAAGTGCAGATAGAGTGCGCTGCTCACCTGATAGCAGGACTTGATCTGCTGCACGAGGATGGACAGGTTCTGGATGCGCAGCGTCGGGTCGTTGTGGACCTTCCTGTGGGCTCTCTGGACGCTGCTCTTTGGGTTTCTGTCAGAACAAACCACACGGACGTTAGACATGTGCAATTAATCAAAATTACAGTTTCAATTTCAACCTCCAATGATTATGACAATACATCAATCGAGATAAACGATTATTGCGCCCCATTCCGCCCCCTTTCGAGCGGTGCGCTATCGCTCCTCCATTAAAGGAGTCATATGATGCCCATTTCCCACAAGTTGATATGATTCTTTAGGGTCTTAATGAAAAGTCTGTAACATAGTTTGGTTAAAATTTCTCAATGGTAGTGTAAAAACACCTTTTTACCCTGTCAAAAACAGCTCTTTTCAGATCAAGCCGTTTTGTAGCATTTTCCTTTAAATGTTAATGAGCTCTGCTGACTCCGCCCCTCTCTTCCGAGCTGCTCTCAGAGAGACTGTTTACTTTAGGATTCATCGTGAAACTTGCTAATTAGCACGTTATTATGAAAGGCGATTTGCAAAGATTTGTTAAAAAACCTTACACTCACTTCTTCTGTAGGTGAGGCTGGATCATGAATGATTCGAGCGAACATAGACGCATTTATGTAGATCGGGGGCGCATTCCCTTCAGAAACAAACGTAATCCACTGCGAGTTCAGCGGCTCAGATGTCGGGAGTAAATGACGACCGCTGTTCATTATTACATCCAGCAACAGAACACCTCAATCGGTCAGGAGTCATTCTTGTCTACATCTGCTCCAGCGGTGAAACAATGGCGGACTGATGACAGTCACTCAGGGCAGAGCTAAGGTAAGACACCAGTCCAGTCTGTGCTGAAACGCTACTGTCAATCAAACTATTGTGGGAGGGGCCTGTCTGTGTGACGTCACACTGACAGGCATCTGAGATCGGCTCGATTTGAGAAAGGGGTAAAGATTTAACCAGATTTAAAAAAAAACACTGGGTGGATTTTTATCATTATTGGGTGGTTGTGTACACTGCCAACACACATTTCAGTTCAAACAACTTGTAAAAGTGCATGTAGCATTATATGACCCCTTTAAAGCCCAATTTCACGTGCAAATCAGTAAAATCATGTAACGCAAGTCGTGACTTTTGTAAAATGAGATGTGCTTGATTTATTAAAGTTGATTAGATTTATTCATGTTTTTAAAATAACTTGTGCTGTTCCTCAGGAGGATCTCTGTGCCTGCACTCAGAGACAGAACACAACACGGACATGTAAAGTGAACGTTTAGCTTAAACTGCGTGCATAAACACTCAAATACATGCAAAAATTATTAATCAAACAACAAAAGACAAAGACAAAATAGGCACACTGCTCCTGACTGAAGGAGATTTGTAGCTTTAAAGGTCCCATGGGATGAAAATTTCACTTTATGAGGTTTTTTAACATTAATATGAGTTCGTAAACCGAGCCCTGGGTATCCTGCTTCTCCTTTGAGAAAATGAAAGCTCAGATGGCCCAATCTGGAATCTTCCCTTTATGTCATCATACGGGGAAAGGTTACCTCCCCTTTCTCTGCTTTGCCCGCCCAGAGAATTTGGCCCGCCCATGAGAAAATGAGCTACTACCGTGCGAGGCGAGCGCAATATTTATTTTTCCTCGAGAGACATCACGGCTTGGAAACAAGTGAAGCATGGCAGTTGCCCCGCCTCTCTCCTCCTCATTAGCATTTAAAGCTACAGACACAGAAATGGCACGTCCTAAGGAAAGCTCATTGTGGGACTGGCTCGTAGTGGCTGAAATTCTGCACCAAGGCTGAATTTCGGGAAAGAGACTTCAGATACAGTACTAGGGACCACTTAGGCCTATATAAAAGCATTCAAAAAGCAGCATGTCATGGGACCTTTAATAGCAAACTAAGGAAGTTTAATTCTGGCCCACTCATAATCGTGTTAAATAATTGTGATTACAATATTGACCAAAATAACCGTGATTATGATTTTGGCCATAATCGAGCAGCCCTGACGGACATACATTCATTCTGCCAGCCAGAAGCTCACACTTTCACCTGTCTACTGACATTTTTGCTTTTTATTTGTAGCAATGTAATTATATTTTTCATTAATTAAATGTTAGGTTTTTATTTATGAGAATATTTTATCTTTACTAAAAGAAAATTTGAAATAAGCTGGAATTTAACAGCACAGATTCATACTCTAGGTTTCTAAACACTGTCACTTAAATGACTTCTCATTAAATTTGTAAAGTTCACATCAGACTCTGATAACTCAGGCATGTGATCAGCTGAAGACAAATAAGATCCCTAAAGTTGCAAAGACTAAAGTCTCAAACCCAAAGAGATATTCTTTATAAAAGTTAAGACTGGTCCACGCCCTCCTAAAACGGCTCGTTCTAACACGCCCCAACATACCTACGTCACTATGTGGGAAGATTTGCATAACGCCGCCCAAATGTTCACGCAAAGAAAGAAGGCGTAACTTTTATTCTCGCTGTAGTATTGTTGCTGCCGTTCAAGCTTTATATAGAATGTTTCATCGGGCGCACGCGCCTGGCCCGAAGTTAACTTCCGGTCTGTGTTTGTTCATCAGTCTGGCGCCGGCTACAAACGCAGTTAAAGTTAAGGTGATGAGTAGACTGAAGTTGGGCTCAGGTGGTTGTGCTGTGGGATGTGTTTCCCATACATTTATTTATTTGTGGCGCTCGCCACAATATCAAAACTGACGGATTTTCCAAAAGGCTTCGTTGAATAAACATGAGCACGTACTGCATGTTTAAAAATCAAAATGAGACGCGGGTGTTTTTATATAACTGTATTTCTGAAGGAAGATTATCTATCTCAAATTTTTCGATGTCATTTTCATTTCATATAGCATGTTATATGCCTGATAAAGCAGTGTTTGTGAGCTCAGCGCTGCTTTGTGTAACTTACAGCCGTTACCGGGGAAACCTCTGTTTCTCCAGCTTTAAAGCACCTCCTGCTGGCAGAGAATTAATTGGCATTTTCAGTAAGTCTGTCTGATTTCGGCAGCAAACTTATTCCTTTTCCTATACCCACGGGTCGAGTAATAAAAAAAGCATTCTGATTATTTGCGGGTGGGTCGCGGGTGGATAAAATAAATCATAAATGATGCCGATAAAGCAGCGCGGAGAGATGCGTCAGAAACATGCCACGGCTGGCTGATAAACACAAGTATTAGAGCGGCAGCGATCAGCTCCGGTGGCCGTGGAGCCGTAATGCGCCGCAGACGTGTGCAGTGAGGCACAGATCAGCTCTAACGTCACTGAATCTGCTGTTAAAAATGAACCATCCCTTCATTATATCATCATGCAAAACATACACGACAAATAGCACATTTTTCATTGTTTCTCAAAACGTCATAGCATTTCCACACCGGCGATGACATGACTGCAGCGCCAAATCATTTATGCCCCACGCATCATGTACGTCGTCACGCGTTGACGTCATTCAATTGCGATCGGTTCGTGAGATCGGCCAAGTTAGTGAGTACCGATTGAGTCATAAAATGTGATTATCGGCCGATACGATCTCCGGCCGATCGATCGGAGCATCCCTAAAAAAGACAGTACAAGTCATCATTATAATCAGTAATTATGTCCCCACTGGATGCAACGAATGCCTCGTTTATAATGGGTTTTAATGTTTTTGTCTCGTCGCTCCGGCCGGGACACGGCATCACAGTATGGTGAGGGGCGTAACATTTCCGTCACACGCTTGAGGTATTCGGCCAATCACAACGCACTGGATAGCTGGCCAATCACAGCACACCTCGCTTTTCAGACCGATGAGCTTTGTAAAAATCGACGCGTTTCAGAAAGGCGGGGCATAGAGGAGCAACAATAATGTACAGTATGTGGAAAATAATGTGTTTTTTGAAGCTTAAACCGCATAAACACATTTCATTACACCAAATACACAAAATAATGTTCTTTTTAGCAGCATCATATGACCCCTTTAAAAGAAGGCTCTTCTGCTCAGCAAGGTTGCTTTTATTTGTATAGTAAAAAATACATGCCTGATTCAAGAAGGGGGTCAGACGGCCAAAAAAATATTATTTTCACTAACTTATTAATTTTAAGTTAAATTGTGCTTTGTTGGTATAATGTCTGCTAGAATGTTAAAAAAATGTTTAGTGTTCAATATTTTTAAATTGTTGTTTTGTAATAGATTTTTTCTATGAAAAGAAAGTCAAAACAGTAAAAAGCACATTTTGGCTATTTAATGTGTGCAATGGTGAAAAAAACTGGCGAAATACATGCGGAAAAAAACCTCGAAAAACCGTGTTCGGTATTCGGCCTTTGGCCCAGTGTTTTATTTTGTTTGGTTTCGGCTTCAGCCAAGAATTTTCATTTCGGTGCATCCCTAGTAATACCCATTCTCTCAAGAAAGAAACTCGTAGTGTTGAGTGCAAATGGAGAAAAACTAACTTGGAAGTTTTTAGAATTGCGTGGAAAAACAGTATGTCCAGCTATAGACAGGCTCTAAAAGCTGCCAGAGCCGAGCATATCCACAAACTCATAGAAAATAACCAAAACAATCCAAGGTTTTTATTTAGCACAGTGGCTAGATTAACAAATAACCAGACGCCACCCGATCTAAATATTCCCTCACAGTTTAATAGTAATGACTTTATGAATTTCTTCACTGATAAAATAGATAACATCAGAAATACAATAACAAATGTAGATTCTACAGCATATAATACTTCAGCTTCATTCATCGCACCAAAAGGTCTGCTAGAATGTTAAAAAAATGTTTAGTGTTCAATATTTTTAAATTGTTGTTTTGTAATAGATTTTTTCTATGAAAAGAAAGTCAAAACAGTAAAAAGCACATTTTGGCTATTTAATGTGTGCAATGGTGAAAAAAACTGGCGAAATACATGCGGAAAAAAACCTCGAAAAACCGTGTTCGGTATTCGGCCTTTGGCCCAGTGTTTTATTTTGTTTGGTTTCGGCTTCAGCCAAGAATTTTCATTTCGGTGCATCCCTAGTAATACCCATTCTCTCAAGAAAGAAACTCGTAGTGTTGAGTGCAAATGGAGAAAAACTAACTTGGA